ATTTCAGGTCTCCGACGTTCAGGAGAAGCGACAATATCATGGGATGTCAGCGTTTGTGTCGTTGAGTTGTTAAAAGAATAGGCGGCTAGAGTTGGTAAAAGGTGTTACCCACGGTTATGATAGAAAGGAGCGGCATCGAGCAGCAGGACGGAGCGTTGACATCTATTGGACAACATGGATAGCTGTGGGCAGAAGCAATTGTAAGAAGCCTCAGATTGTTATGTCTACACGACTACACAAAAACATTTTTTTTTTGTGTAACGAGCTCAAACAAAGACAGTCATGTGTTCAATCATGTCTCGGCTAGGACGGAAATGCGCCGATTTTTGCAAAGACACCACGACAACTGAGCCGTAGCAAAAATCGTAACAATGTCAGTGAAGAGCGATTCGGGTTTTCCGCTAAACAAGCTAAGTGCTGACAGCAAGCAGTAATATCAACAAAGGTAAAAACGGCAAAAAAGTTAGAGGATGACAGCAGTCTCGAATGGAGACGGGAGTAGTCGGGACGGCGTCGGACGGAAAGAATACAAATGAGGCCGGAAGAGTCAAGTGGAGTAGGGTTAGCAGCGGTAGTGCGGTCTCTCATGGCACGAGGGTTATCCTCCAGTCGATCCGCCTGCTCCAAGCTATTTCAAGCGTAGGGGATGGCCGATCAGGGATATCCTGCCAAGAAGGTAAGTGACTGAAGTGTAGGTAGCCAAATGGCAGCGAACGACAACGAAGTAGAAGCTACTTTCGGAAGGATACAAGTTGCTCCCCGGAGGCCACAACTGATACCGCCTAGCTACCATGACTATGTGAAACTGCTTGCAAGCAATTTAGAGCAAAAGGATTCTCTCGCTACCTTTCGTCCGTCCTCCATTAAGGTTCAGCACGTGTCGCCTACCCCAACGAGCTCGCCTCATCAGCCAACAGAGCTAAGCGCCGAAAGAAGAAAATAAAAGACGCATCTTAAACGGAACAGTTGCCTCCATTTTCTCTCTGGGTTGAATAAATAGTAAGATAATTAGTATCATTTTTCCTAGAAAAAATACGTGCAAAGGGACCTTAGAGCTACTAGCACTTCAATAACAGTACACAGTTCAGCCAAGGCTAGCTAGCAGTAAGCGGGCTTCAAATCAAGAAACTAGTCAATGTCCTTCATCTGGATAAAGCGTATATACTCTCAATGTATATACATGTATATACGTTCAATAATAACAAGTGATCCTTTGTCAGGGCAAAAATGCACTTGGTCGTAATTTTTTTTTTCGTAATTTGGTAATTAGGAAAAAAAATATGGCTAATCCTAGTGCTGATTATTGAAGATAGGGTACTGGCTTCAAGGAGAAAAGTTTCCAGTTGGATTACGCATGGGGTATGTGTAAGCTAACGGGCCCCGTAGGCCGGAAATATACGTAGATACTCATTATTTGTTGTTATGCGATTTACAGTGAAATCTACTTCTAAAAAAGCCTTTTGTTTTTTAGAAGTGATTTGCTGACACGGCCGGGTCATTTCATATTTTAGTTTCAATGTAGTTAGAAAGCATATCTCTGTATTGAGGTATGTACATGCAAATCACTGACTGGGTTCTGCTCGTCTGTTTGTTCTATGCACGTAACAACTTTCAGCTGTTACATTTGTGGAAAGCTTTCCTCAGTCCCACATATAGTCCATACGAACAGTTATGTCTATTAGGAAAACTGTAATCTAGGCACATATAATATGCCTATAGAAGCAGACGTTTCACGCTGATTATTTACCTTATTGCTATGGACGCTGCTCGTTTTACCCTCTAATATTGTGTCAGTTGACACTGATGTATAATGATATAATTTTTTTAAAAATTATCTGTGCTTTATGTGAAAAAATTTCGGTAGCTGTCGAACAAAAAATTGTAACACCGGCTATTGCTATGTTAGGAAATTTCTAGTCATCATTCTGAAACGTCTTCATTCATTCTCTTCTATTGAAACAATATGTCGTTCGACTGTGGTAATTCCAGCTCACACACTATTTTCGAGTTAGCATATTTCATAAAAGCATTGAATGACTCGATAAAAAACACTACATTTTTATATGTCTCATTGCATAATTTAATTATTTTCATCTGTCATTTGTGCATATATTATGTCGATAGGATTAATTAAATAAATATTAGTGAACAAACAGGTTGCTCGTGTTTAGAAATATACAATTTTTCAATTGAAAAATTTGAAAATCGGGTAGACTGGCCAGCTGGGGCGCATGAGGCGGCACAAAACCTGAGGCATATTGCTTTATATCTTGTACAGGTACAGGTACATGTAACCCTAGGCGACAGGGTCAAGTGTTTGACATATGGTCATATGGAAAAGCACACGTTCCCTCAAAACAGATAATGAGGGAACGTGTGTTTTTCACAATAAGCACAACCAGAAAAGGGAAGAAAAACTGACGGCTAATTCGGCAAAATTAACATTTATTTGCTTCTGTTATAAGGGCGTTCTGCTGTTTGCTAAGCTGCCAGTTGTTCATCAGTGATTGCATTAGATAGATACCTATTTACGATTCTATATCTGCGCACCGATATAGTGCACTATTATTAAATACATAATCAACTCTCTCGGTTACTATGTAACCGACATATACCTCGAGACGCTGCGGCGTAGCGAAGTGGGCTCCTTTACCTACAACTCAAAAGACAAACACGTTATACGGTACGAGCGCACCTGCGATGACCATATCCATATATACGAACAATCAATATCGTTTCAAGTGAAAATCAGTCTGTTGAGGAAATCTTCAGCTGCATCTCCGCTGCAGCTTCCTCAATATCAGAATATTTATAAATTAATATATATATATATATATATATAAACTAAAATTGAGACTCAAAACTAGCTCTGGTGCTCTAATAATGGTGGTAGTTGATATACACGATTCTTCTAGAATAACACACAGCAGATACAATAGAGCAGGTTTGGTTAAGGAGCCAGTATCCACTACACTTTCATCCCGTAAAAGCGAAATTTACTGTTTTTTTTTTTTTTTTATTTCTTTCTAAAATTAGTACGTAAATCTTAACGCGAAGCATTAGAATTACACTGAGATATTTGTGACCATAAGGAGTTTTAAAAAACGAAAAATTAGTACGCTAGTTAGATAGATTAATTGGATGTATTATTTGTGAACAAAAAAATCTTCCAAATGCAACTTCGCCTCATAATATCTTTTTCTGATTAAATCTCATGTTCCGACCAAGTGAATTTAAGTTAAGTAACTATTCCAAGCAGTTTTTAGTGAACCATATTTATTGGTGCTTTCAATAACAGCAACAGTTATTGGACGTTTGCGCGCCTTAGTGACGTTGCAATGTTAACGTCTCAACTTGAAAACTATATCCAAAATTAGTACAACATACCAATAATGCCGAGTGCGCAAACTTCACGTCTCCCGTGTCAGCGTTAAAGAAATCGCACAATTATGACCCACTAACGGCTTGCCCAAAAAAACAAACGCCTAACTCTAGGAAGTCCGATTTATGGTGCAGTGATAGCGTACTGCCATACATCATTCGATAATTTAGGTTCGAAACCTGAGCAGGCATACTTCACTTTTGTGCCGGAGGCTAGCGGTTTGAAGTAATGCTTATCGATAGCGCCTCGACACTAGGTTCAGAGACCTGGCCTGACCGTATGGTTCGAAACTGGACTTTTACACTCTTCGACTATTGAGTCGCATTATGCGTACACGAGTACATGAATAGGTAAGCCCTCCATTTCTGCAGATAACGCGTATTAGGGTCTCTACGGTGGCAGATCCTCAAAAGGAACTTACGACGGAATTTAAAGGCGAGATCTTAATAATTCTTTCTTATAGATATGCTAACTTCTAAACTGGCTAAGGCTGTAAATGTGTTCGAAGTATAGTTTGCGGTGTATAATGACAAAAAGTGAGAAAGAAGTGAGAAACTTTTACAGACTGACCCGCATTTTTCGGTCCTAGCCCGTTTCGTCACTACTTAGTATAACTGATCTAACTAGTTTATGTTACTTCCAGCATAATGTTGATTATAGCTCTAGCACGTAGCATCAGTTATCCTACTGCAGTTACGTTGCATGGTATAAGTGGCAACCGTAGAAAATAAGCATGTAGCGGCGCTGCTTTAAATTTCAGGATTGGCAAAAAGTATTTGCTAAGTAAAATAAGTTACTATGAATTATTGACACCAAAGATAGAACCAATAGTTGCTTATCATCAATCAATAGTTGCTTAACTATCATGCCTTTGCATATGTCTGTTGAAGAACGGTTAAAAAAAATCCAGCATTGCCTGCCCCGACTATTCTCTCTAAGGGGTAAGGTTCTTGGTGTACTACCGCAAAGAACCCCAAAATGATCGCCAGGTACTGCAACGTAACAAAAGCTATGCTCTAATTATCCCACTTCCCCATCGAAACGCACCAACAATCGTGTCGTTCTTTCGCGGTTATTGCATAAGCATTGGCCTGGGCATCCTGTGATCAAGTCTTAGCGATTGGTTACATCCAACCCAGCTCCCAGTTCCGTTAAAACACACAGCTATAGTAACCTCAACCTGCAATGTTTCCGGCTAGTTCTTCTATTATTCTTATTATACTGTTATTATACCTGCTTTCCTTATTCAATCAGAATATTACAATGCCTTGTTTCAATGACGAAGTTAGCTCTGTTCCATGAAAGCAATGCTGCATTTTTACTAGACCATTAGCATACTGCTTATATTCTGCTGAAGAAACAATCGACTTTAACTCCAAGAAGCCCAAATATTTTTTCCTTTGTTCAGAGTAAACTTAAAACCTTTCATCGAGACCCTATCTAGCTCTGGCGCCAAAATTCAAATTTACTGATCTACCATTAGCTCGATAGCCTGTTAACACTACTAAATTGAAAAGAATACGCTTTCTTTAATCAGCGGTTGGTACATTTAGTATATGTTAACTATCCGCAGACATGATTTTAGAACATTCAAGGGCACTTTGTAAGCTCTTAAAAATGAGCGACTTCTAGCCATATTTATTTTTTCTGGAACACTAGAATAAAGTGCCAGGGAGCGTGTATCATATTTTGTGTTAGAAAAGCAAAAAAAAGAAAAAGATAATTGAAACAGTGGAGAGAGTCCAGACAAAAGATTTTCGGTACCAGCATTTTTGTATTGAAAAACTGTTTTGGGGACTAGAAAATCCGTCGTATACTTGTATCGAATCTATTGAGAACTACTTCAAAGGGAACAAATGGAATTTGGACGATTGGGACATGTGAAATAAAGGCAAAGCCAAATTATCGGTATATTTCTGAGAGAAGAACCCGCTTGCCTTGCTGGACATCATCCTGTCCTAATTAATCGGTATTACGTAAAATCGAGTTTAATTTATACCGCAAATTGTACATTCTTGCTGTCTCTTTTTTGAGATCCTGCTAACTTTTTATTGTGTCACCACTATCCAGTTATAGTGATTCTATTTCTCTGATTCTGTCTACCTATTACATCGTTCTCGTAATTCTGTCCCCTTGAAGCCTTTCAATTTGTTGTTATTCATTACCCCGTTATTCTAATTTATTAACTTTTCTTATTTGAATAACTTTGTAATCTCGTTACAACTTTTAACTGCCAACGTAAACTTTAACAGATTGATATCCAACTAAAAATATAGACAAAATTGATCCCAATTTAAAACCATGCCTAACTGCAACCTTTTATCCTGTAACATTTATGTTCGCTTTCTTGTGGAAACGTCCTCGTAACCTCGATACTCTGTTGCATTTATCCCGTTTTATCATTTTATTTATTTAGACTATTCCCCAATGTTCATATCGAAATATTTGATCGATTTTATATAAAAAAAATACTAACTTCTAAGCCGCACATACGAGAATCTGAAAAGAATGTCAGTACTTAATTAAAAGCTCTGTAATCAACAGTTATCTAATACTGCACAAAGTAAACGTGCCCATTCCTGTACTTTGGGTTGGCGCTAAGATGGTAACACCGTGGTTATAAGATCTTCTCTCTTATCGCTCTGTGATTGTTTCGGCGAAAGGATTCGGAGATTTCTTTCGGAAAACAAGTGGCCGTATCGCCACGGCGTGCATAAAGAGTTCAATCCTCCAGGCCGTGTTAGCATATCAGAGAATTTAAGTCAAGTGGGTAGGCACCTGGTGTCCAATATTTCACAACTAATTTCTAGACAGAAATAATTATTAAGTAGAGAAAAAAATATTCCACCAAAGGCCGTATTAGAGAACGCCGAGTTGAAGATTAGCTAAGCTTCAACTGGACGGATTGCGTCACTTTTTGCTGACCATATACAAGAGAGGAAAAATGCTCGCCGTAAACAACTTAACCTGACTCAAAGAGGCAAAGAACGAACGTCAACATGCCGATGGAAATTCTGGTCGAACTCGCGAAGAAGCATAAGTATAGGAAAAGGTACCTTTACTGCTTGTTTTTTACTGCTACTGCTCTACAGTCGTTCTGTTTTATAAAGGTAGATAAGATTCAAAGGCAAGCTTCTTCCATCTTGCGTTTCGTATCAATGTCACTGAAAGACGTCCACTGCCTTCGAAACAAGTACGGAGCTATAACATAAACGATGTCGTCATGTACGAAAGAAAATTGTTACAATTATCAATTATTAATTACAAGTATCTAAAAATCATTCCACATCATCGTACGCATCAAAGCTAATCATCGTTCTGTAACTTCTACCAGAAATATCTTGAACGCACCATAGTTTCAGGGACACATCTCGAATACAATCTGATCGATGTCGATTTACCTACACTTTATATTTCTAGCCGACTGAAAAAATGCTCATGCTGCTTTTAAACGGATTTGAAATTTACCGCGCGATCAGGTACTTCCAATCGAATATTGAAGGTATAGAAGGCTTCTAATTGGGTCTGCATTAGGCATTTTGTGACCGAATCTCGCCTATTCCGTGGGAACTCCCAGAATCCTCATCACCCATACACCGGTAGCAATGCCCAAGCTTTTATCCAGTGGAATGTGCTCCAAGATACAGTCCTAGTAGACATTGAAAAAAAAAAAAGTCCATGTTGACAAGTGTTTCTAATGAGACTTCTGGCGCTTATTGGCATTTCTAGAATAGTTTTGCACTCGTCCTCGAAGATGTGTCAAATAGTACCAATGCAAAAGCACATTCACAAAAATTTCACCGTTATGATCTTATCAAAAATTGCACAAGATATATAATATATAAGCTAATAGCTAATACTACGTATGTATAGTTTACTCACGCTGATATCATTAGCGAGTTTTTCGGGATCGTGTTGGATTTCCGGTCTCGATTTCTAAAACAAAATATGCTAATTAAACTAGCATTTCCATTTTATAAAATGCAACTGTTATAATACCCTCCCGGAAGGTGAATATTACTTACACATATGACAACTTACGCAGAAATTTATAAGATGAGGTTGGGTGCATTTAATGATCTCCTGACGGTATTTGTTTTGGTCCTAGAAAGTAAAAGCATAAATTGATTTGTTTTTAAGCAGGAAGGACCAAGTTATATTCGTTAGCGCCAATAGCTTTTCCAAGTACCTATGTAGCAGCTCTCCGCTGCTTTGCTCGTCATCCCATGAATGACTGGTACACTCAGTCATCCCGAGTCTCCAAACACAGAGAGAATGCGAAGCCATAAAAACTAGTTTAAAAACTTACGCCGATTTACCTTTTTAGGCTCTTAGGATGCGTGGATAAATGCGTTCTCAATGACAAAGTACATCTCATTTAACATAAATTCAGTGAACAAAATATGAATGCATGCTAGACCTACGAAGACCTAGGCGTAAAACAGCTAGCTGGATAAGTTAAATTAACTAGTGTAAATAACGTGTCGCAGGCATGACATGATGTCGAACCTATCGTAATGTTACACATATATATATGAGCGTAGATTTGACAATGCTTAATTTTAAGAAGGCAGATTTTCACCTAACAAACAACAGTTGCTTAGAAAGACTGGATGTACTCTCCGTATTAAGAATATGGCCTACAAAATAAGATAGTTACTTACCCCAGCTAACGATTCAAGGCTGTCATGACATTTGGCGTAGTCATCGCATATAATTCTGAGAGCCTGATAAAGTGGAATTTAATTTAAAATTTACAATCCAGTTAAATAGCCTAATATTTTGTAAGTATTCCATATATATATATATATATATATACGTTGTTATATACTACTTTAGCATTTTCTATAACATATTTCTTCACCTATATGAAAAAGATAATAATTTATATATAAAAAATAATAATAATAATAATTTTATCGCAACAACAGTCAATAACTGTCCTACACAAAATACATATTTATCAAACATAGTAAACGTGCTCATCTAAGCCTGAACCCAAGCGTTTAAAGATTAGCCATGCTTTCGTGTATTACTTCAGTCTATTCATGATGATCTTACTATCCAGCTGCTATTACGAAGAGTGGGTGGCCGATTTCTGGGTACGTTCACCAGGATAAAAAGCATCTCTAAAAACCGCAAAAAACCACTAAGTCAATGTACATAACGGCAAGCAATGACAAACGCCCATCGCCACCCTAGTCTCTTGAAACAAAAATGCCAGTTGTAGTCAAAAGGCCTGGCTTTCGATATCGCTCAGCTATACCGAACTTTTACCATTGAACGCGATTGTACAAATGTTCAATTGTATTTTATGTAGACCAGTTAAAGCTAATATTTGACATGTTAGGCGTAACTATACATGATACGCACTCGACCTAAATTTACGCACGTTTTCATCTACTTTATCATCTAGACCTTCATTTATGAATGTGTTAGGGGAAGGCAATGACCACATATCGAAGTTCAAAAACTACAATTAGCTAGCGAATTCAGTTCTTTATGGCTAGCTAAAATTTAAAGCTAAAAGCCCCCTTTTTAGATAGATGTTTATGAAATCCTAGTGCCGCCCCCGTAGAAATACAAAGCATTTGTCTGGGTCGTATTTTCAGTTCACCGTTGTCGATATAGCGGAGAAAAAATGGGCGTTTGGCTAAGCATTAATGAAACCTATATCGTACACACATTTTCTACATTGGCCCCACCCCAGGAAGGAAGAATTCTCATATAGCCTGGGAACAAGCAAGTTGTCAAGATTTCCTTCCTCGCTAGATGGTCCTAATTTTACTAAAAATAGACAAGGAAGATAGTGAGAGATATTTCCATTTCGTGTGTCAAACAAAAATCATTATACGCTAGAAAATTCGTTTGTTCGACCACAAGACATGCCTGATTTTCGATCAAGCACACAAGTAACTCTATACGTATCATAGCAGCGGAAGCGAGATAACCTCTCCAATGACGTTTATGGGCACGGGGTACTTGTCGAGAAGATGCATGCATTTCTTCATAATTCGCTCTGCAATCGGCTGCGCCTCCTTCATAACGGCGTCATCTAAAGCGAAAACAACAACAGGAAGTGCATTCGATATTTCAGTAGCTGAAGTGATGTTTCAAAACTACGTTAGGAAACGTATAATTGTGCAAGACCGCACGTCAGTGATACAAATTGCCCCTATGTTTCGAGTTCTACGTCTGGTATCGCTGTTAGATATCTCGTTAAACTTACCTGGACGCTTTTTGCACTCCTCGTCCCCAGAGGCGGTACTGATTATGCTTAGAACGAGTATGATCACTCTCATAATGAATCTAAAGCCGAAGAAACTTTCAAAATCTTACAACTACTGCCTAATGCACAACAATCTTTACCGACCCACTTCGCTGGCCTTTTGGGACACATCATCAGGTTGGCATAACCTCCTAATCGGGCATTTATAGTCGACTCCTTGATGGAGGAAATTACGTTCACTCTATTTTGCGTGGAATCTATCCAAAAGTCATTGCTGTTGCTGACCGGCCAACTGAGCAGCTGTGTAACATTTTCCAATCCATAAATCAGATCGATTTCTTTCAGAAATGATGATAATAATAATGAATAGGTAACAGCGTTAGTGGGTTCCAACACTGGCACCAGCTGGACAACTGAGTTCACTCGAGAAAACCGTGTCTGTCTGTGTGATCAGCTCTATAACTGATATAAGTAGCTTACTTCTTACGCCCGTATGCACACTTTCTGTATACATACGGCTTTTTCTTTTCATTGAAGGCCGTTTTCTCATGAAGGTAGAAAGCAATTATAATAGAATATATTGAATTGTTGTTCTTAAAACACTATACGGATATGCGTGTCGGTCTATATAGCTCAGACTTGTAATAAATTTTTCCTAATGTCTTTTACAAACAAAAAGGAGAAAGTGCTTATCTACAGATGGTTTGTGGAGAAAAGGCACGCTAGTTTTGTAAATGCTAAATGACAAATCCGAAGATGCACTTGAAGGGTAATAAGTACGAAACTAATTACTAATAATATGGATCTCTTTATCTGATTCATTTAGCACGCATTTACCACAAACGGATAAAAGGACAAAAATGTTATTTAATTTGAACCGTCGTCTAATTTAGGTTCACTTTGGTAGTGTCCTAAATTTTTCGGACGCCCTTAATTGCCAAAGGCTACCTGAAATGTAACACTCGCTCGACCAAAGCTCTAGTTGTGGTAGACGTGACCAATCGTGGCTTTTTGGTAATAAACCACATTGCCGACAGATTGATGAGCCCGAAGAATTCTGTTTAGGCCCATTGTTGCTTGTAGGTTTACATGAGACTATGCGCGAAAAGCACTGCCATCAAATCCATTGTCGAACTTGCCCCTTTTAAACATATGTGACCCCTCCTCTACCTACCAGCTTTTGTCCTCACCACTAGGGCACGATTCCTTTTTAGGACATCTAATGCCAATTTGTTGTCGTTGTTTTATGTTACTTCTAAATGTAAGTCCTGCGAGGAAGCCCATGAATCTAAATTTTTCTGGGGTTCAAACACGTAAATTACCTATCATCGTCTACGTATACAGGATTATTTTTTCAAAGTATCTTTTTTACTTTTTACTGCATAAAAACATACCTTAATATATGCTTTCACTTTCGGCTGATTGAATCATAAAAAAGTATTGCTCTTTACAAATGAAAAGTGTTTTTTTGTCGTTCATAGATAAGATTTTATTTTGTTACATGTTCAATAAATTTAATTAATTACACAACTTGCTATAAAGCTATGTCCCGAACATGCGTCTTGCCATGATGTTTGGGTCTGTTAATTGTTTTACACATTTTTTTTTCATCATATATCATCAGATATCTTTAATCCTGATTATGTGTTTGAATATATTTAAGTAGAGCGAATAGCATTGTTGCAGAAATTCCTAGCCACATTGAAACGTGACCTGAAAGCAGGGTAAACATGTCGGAACCCTGGAAAAAGCACGAAACGGTAACTCGAATTAACGACAAATGATGGCTAGCTAATCTTCATCTTCTATCGAAATTCGACATTGAATGATATTTCCTATATGGTTTTTATTTATACGTCAAGTACTACACATTTGTTATTTGTAATTTACTCTCAATAGCATAGACATTATTAAACGTTTGAGAGGTATCGGCTCGAAAAATGTTCAGCTCCTTCAATAAACGTCTCTCTCTCTCTCTCTCTCTCTCTCTCTCTCTCTCTCTATATATATATATATATATATATATATATATATATATATATATATATAGAGAGAGAGAGAGAGAGAGAGAGAGAGAGAGAGAGACTCGTTTTTTGCTCTTTCTATATCAGTATCGTTCACAGTCAATTGCTATCTGATTCTCCACGTTTCATTAATATTTCAGACACGATATCTTACTTTCGAGTATTTTTCTTTCCTAGAATATCCCGCTCTTGACCCATTGTTGGAATCTTGGGCAAAAGTTAGTTGTCCGTAATAGGGTAATTTTCCTAATGGCTGAACAATTACTGTGTGGAAACTGGTTTGCTTTTTGACAATATGAAGGAAGCTATGTTGATACGATGTAATTTTCTTAGTGTTTCAACCAGTGATTCTACATACGACAAAGCCCATAGATTACGTACAGTATTATTTATATTGCAATGCCGAACTCCAGTATTAGTTCATCCTACCTTTAAGATTATATTATACATCAATAATTACCATTCTTTTATATTTCTATTTGTTCGTTTGGTGATAGCTAAGTGCTAGGTGCCGTTGACAAACTCAGTTGCTGCTTTAACATTCATTCGCCATTCGTTTTTTTTTTTTAAATTACATAGTTTCACCGGGATTTTGAACCCTAAAGATAAGCATGTCAGGTAACAAAAAAAACTGAATTTTCTAAACATTTGATCACAAATGTAGTTCGGGACTCTTTTTTCAGAGATCAACGTATTTGATAATTGGACACATTTTTGTTTAGTATCATCAAATGAAGTAACGTTTCGGTATTCCGAAAATTTAAATTGTGAAAATACGATATATGGAGAATTTCTATATGGGAAATTTGCTCGAACCGCGACGGCATCACGCTCCGTTTTCTTGCATCCGCTGACCATTGCAATATTATGCTAGCGTTCAGAAGCTCCGCAAAACAAACCAATCAAAAATGGTTTTTCATGTAAATGCGAAGGGTTGTCAACAACGAGAAGATCAACGGGACCCGACGTGATAGTCACTGTAATTATTGAAGAAGCTTGAATGTACAACTAGTTCTATGTCAGGATAAAAATATAAGCGCATCTCAAAAGATTGCTTTCCATCATATATCTAAAAATATATTATAACTGAAAAATGCCAAAACGATTCGTTCGTAATAGAATAAAATAATAAACTGTTTAGTGTTATGATAAACATTAAAACAATCGATTCGAAGTAACAAGGAATCGTTTTGATACCGTTATTCGTGGAATATTCGAAATTAACTCATTTCGTGTCGATCCCATTCGGACATTCACGGTGGTTTCCTCGCTTCGAAAACACGTTAGTACAGTCATTAGATCGAAATCGTCACATTAGTATGCGTCATAATTTCCAAAATCGTGATAAATAACTGAGGCTTGTTTTAGGTCGTATAGACGCTCAGAAGTAGATTACTGATCAATTTCGCTAGGGGTAAAAGGCAACATTGAAAAGATATGTATGTTCAACCAGCTTTAAAAAAGAACGAAATTGATATATATATATATATATATATATATATATATATATATATATATATATATATATATGCTAAATAAGACGTTTAATTACATCGTTCCGATCAGAAATCTGTGATGAATTAAGTGTAACTTTAGCCGTGAGTTAAGGTTACAAGGAGTCATCGGTTTAACGAAGCACAGTAGAAGGAAACTCAACGTCTTTTGTGTTACGAGGGCTGAGAGAAGGCGAATGAAGGAGCGGCTTCACAGAGTTACCTAATATTTATCATCTCGTGGCTTTGGGGATCAGTAAGGCGAAAGCAGATATTGGCTAACAAATAATCGGTTTGCTCGTTATTTTAGAAACTTGCATGAGGAAAAGACCTCGACTTGAAAAAGTAACTTCAGTTCTGGCATCCTATCGTAGCATTAATATACATTTCACTGGACTAGCCAAGAAATCGGTCCTGGGAAAAAGTCGGGTGACTGGCTTTTAACAAGTGAGAGTGTTGGTGCTCACTATGGCGCTTGTAGACCATTGAGGTGACCTACGATAGTGCGCATTATGAAGTTTTTCATATACTATTTATTACAACAACAAAAAAGGGTTCGATATATCACATACGCCCATATTTACACGAGGTCAAACTATCCGTTAATCTATTAAACCCATGTGGGGTACGATAATTTTAATTACAGCTTTTTTTTATGGCTCAGCATCTGATGGGACTCATTATCATGCACATTTCGAATGACAGTCACATTCTTAAAGCGAAATTATGCATTTTTTATACTTTTGTCTCACCAAGTATATCCGTACCTTGATACTCACTCGTTTCGCAAGTACTTGTTGATATTCCCTATAGTAAAACTAAGAGTGCTATAGCGAATCTCGTAACAGGCTCCCCTACAGACATACTGACACCATGGCAACCATCCATGGGATTTCATTTCTTGAATACACCGTACTGGAATATATAGAATCATACTTTATTACGACATGTAGCTTAATTAATCATTGGATTTTAACAGCACATGGGTATGCGTTGCTTTTACATCGACTTAAATGCACATATGTTGGCTGAATTTTATAGCTTTGATAACTTCAATTGACTTATAAGCTTCTTTCAACTTAGCAATTTGTATTTACGCAAATCGTATTAATTAAAAGACGATTTAATTATTAACATTACAATAAAAAGGGTGACTTTGAATTTGTGGCCCTCCTTAGAAGCTGTTTCATCAATAAAAAAAGCGAAAAGATAAAGCGACCGATAACGAATTTTTGTATACGGTAATCTCTGTTTGTACACGAAAAGCTATTGGATACGGTAGCGTGTGCATGAATGCCAAAGTTTTTTTTTTATGGACGGCTAAATGGCTGCTTATTTTTACTGTCTAATATTATAAAAAACAATACAGAATTTTATGCTGATCTAATAACACATCGGGAAGAGTCCTTGCAAAATTTCAATATTACTATTTTCGATTCAGCGTATTTGGAGGATTAGCCTATGGCATCTGTAAGAAGCACGCAGTCCGCCATTATATTCCCTTAGGGTTTGTACGGAACGTGCCGAATAAGCGTGCGTGTAAGTACCACTACGATTAGAATGAAAATGATTTCTTAACTAAGTTATAGAACGAAATAACTTCAACGTAGTACAAAAGGCTAAACCAGGA